TTAGCGGGTCATTTCTGCCAGAGGGTTTTGCGACCTATATTTCTTAGCCTGGAAATGGAGAACAAATGGGATTTATTCGATAGTTACTGACAACTTTGCGATAAAACAGCTTGTTGTGTTTCCAAATGAAATTTTTCATTAGTTTTGATGCATTCCTACTTCATTCAATAATCCCATTGGGAACTTAGCTTGTTTTATGTTTAATCAAAAAATCCCAATTAAAAACATGAAAAATTGTTTACAGAATAATAAAAATGATCGTTACTATTTGGAACAAAGTAAACTAAACTAAAAATACCAAAATATGTATTTCCCACTTCTCTACAGTACAATTTTGTCGTAATTATTACAAATGTGTATTGAAATTTTCAAACCATTTCAAAAGTTATGCTGAAATTTTATAGCAATTAATCTCATTTGTACATATGAAATACAAAAACAGAACACTGTAGATTGATTTGTTGTAGTAAAGTGTTTTCAATTAATTATAACAATTTATTTAGTAATTACACGATTACAAAACAGAAAAATAGATATTTTACAAGGAAATTCTAAAATACATGTATGTATGTAAAACCAGAAATTCCTTGGATCAAAATAAATCTATTTAGACCGACTTACGTATACACATAAAAAAAATTTGCATTATTTTCATGAATATAAAACCCAGGACAAAATTGTAAGTTTTTGGAAAAATTTATTAGACGAAAGTTTTTTCTTTTGATGAGTAATATACGCCATTAAAATTTTTACATTTCTGAGATGCACTTTGGTGCTGAGTGGAGTCGCACTAATATGATGTTACCTTTAGAGGACGTTGGAGATTATCTGTACGTTGCACGTATTGCTCAAAACCCTAACGAATTCTTATCCAAAAGCTTACACTTTGCTGTACTCAAGCTCATCCAGAATGACTCTTTTGAAACTACTAACGGCGAAACGTTTAGAAACATTGGATGATCACATTCGTTGCTTCTAAATGCCTTTGTAACTGGTCGTAGTTACAAAGGCCATTACGGAGCGTCTCAGCGAACCAGCATTGTCTGTTCCATCCGTAGGGGCCTTAGAACTAATAACAAGAACCGAAATGAACATCAGATAGGGTCTAGGACTCTGATAGTGGGCTCGCCTCCATAGAGCCTAGCCCGAGAACAGCAAAGGCAGGTCAAAGATTCCTAGCTAATACTCCAATCAAATTAGAATTTGAACGTGAAAAAATTATTAGTAATTTTTTTGTACTTTATGACGAGGAAGAGTATGTAGAATGATAATATCAAAAAATAACTCAAAAGAAGTGACACTAACTTGGCAAATTGCAAATAAGTGACAAATTTACCTGTTTTTTTTAACTTTTTTACTGTCCACGAAAATTTAGACGGCCTATCGGAAAATGAGTTATTTTATGTTGTAGACAATCAAATTACCTACAATTTAAGGTAAATTAAATCATATTTCACCAATTTATTAACTGTAAAATAAAGATGGAATGCGGAAAAATCAGTTTTCGAAAATTGTGCATTATTATTGCAAAAAGCGGTGGACGTTGATGATTCGATTGACCGTGAATTTGTTGCTCCAGGTATTTGTTAATTAATTTCGTTCGTTTTTTTGCAACTAATTGTTTAATTACTAAATGTTAATTTTAAAAGTTAATATCGTAGATATAGGTTCTAATTGATCCAAAGAAACTTATTGAAAAAGAAAAATTTTAAAAATTTGGAATTAAGTAGCCCTTTACAACTAACAAAGTAGAACGTGCAAAGGAGCGTTATAAACAAATTATCCCAGGGTCAAGCAAAAACCGCTAGGGAATACGCTCTTTTTGCATTAAATAGAGCTTATTTTTACAGTAATTTTTAAAAAAGAGACATCATCTACGTCTCTTTGTTCCCAACGTTAATTGTTAATTAACTATTGGACGTATCGGACCGGAATTTTAGAGACAGTTAAAAAAGGGTTAAACTTTAATTTTCAGAAAGTTTTACATTGATAGTTCATGTTCAACATCAATGAACGGCCTGCATGCGGGAGCGGGAGCGCCGGGCCCACGCATGAGTGTGAACGTCGCTGTCGATCGCACCCGAGATTTTTTACTTGAACGTTTCAAATTCGGTTAAAAAAATCTCGAAAACTGATATTTTCGCGTTCGACCTTTATTTTACAGTTAACAAGTTAGTGGAAAATGACTTTGGGTACCTTAAATTGTAGGTAATTTAATTGCCTACAGCATAAAATAACTAATATTCCGATAGATCGTCTAAATTTTCGTGGACAGTAAAAAAAAGGGGAAAAAACAAGTCAATTTGCCACTTATTTGCAATTATTATTATTTTTGATATTATCATTTTGTGTATCGACATACCCTTCCCCATCATAAAGTCCAATAAAATAACTACTAATAATTTTTTCAAGTTTTCAAGTTTTATGATCTAATTTGACTGGAGTACTAAGAGCAATATTTGTAACTGGCAGAGACCAGGTACTGTAAATATCAGCACGTGCCCTGAAAGCCTTAAAGTAACGTTTATTATTTTTTGGTTTGGCTTTTACAGCTCGCAATCAAATCCAACAATTATTCCATCTTTTATGGAATTTATTTTCTTTTGTGATTTGTTAAGGGTGCACAATTTTCAATTATATTATTCAAAACCTCACTGTCGTATCGGTAGCTGTATTATCTAAATACAATTCCCAGTTAATAATTCTAGGTTCGGCGTTAATTTTTCTCATAGTCGTAAAAAAATAAATAATGAATATGAGACTTTTGACTATTTCATTTTAATGTAAGAAATGTTTACATGCATATCAAGTGTAAATCTTCTTTTGGGAAAGAGCAATTCACACAACCATTGAATTGACATAAATTTTAGGAGACGCAGTTACAGGAAGCTTTGATAAATTTCATCTTTTACAAAAGTATGAGACCAATTGCCAATCAGATGTACTCAAATTATGAGCTATTAAAAATACATCATTAAAGTTATTGTTGTTAAAATATTATCGTTACCATGTAGTTGTACAATGTAGCATTAAGTGGAATATAAATACAACAGATTCCATTTTTGTCATTCTCAAACAAACCTGTAATCCATAAATCTTCACTTCAGTAGTTATAGTCTTTCCAATCTCAATTGAAGATCAAAGAGCTAGGCAGTATGTATATACCAGGTTCGGTCGCTACGCAGCAACTCGGCATTGGAATACTTGAAAAACTTGTTCCCATATTTATTTAGCCATACCCATATACAGGTCTGGTCGTCCAGTTGACGAATGCGCGCACGGGTAAACGCCGCACACACACACACAGCCGTACTGGGCGACCAGCCATAAATCTTAGTTGCTGACAAATTGCTTAGCAGTGCAGTGCAGCAATGCAGAATTTGGTGTGATACAGGTAATTTATTATACACACCTTCTATTAATCATTCATATGCGAAAGGGAGAAATAATAATTATTTACTAATAGTATTACAACATGGCATTTTGGAGACCTTTTGAAGCGGAACAAAACGAAATACCGCCAGACAATATTGAATTAGTATAAAACAGATTCAGAATTTAAAAATACAGATTTACATGTTCAATGACAGAGTCTCATTTTAAATATTTACGATTGTTTAAAAAAAGGAAGAAAATGAAAAATCAGATAATGAAATTATAAATGGAATTCACATATCAACTAGAGTTTCAGTGTCCAAATCTGTTCGTGTTATTATATCATTGCGTAAAGAGGATGACATGACAAGCAACGTAATTCGGCAGAGAATTTATAATTTATATAAAGAAAATTGAGGATAATTAAACCAAATGACCAAATTAACATATTATGATAGAAATTTCCTACATATTATAAAGCGTGTCTCACTAGTGCGGGAAAGTCCAATATCTGTGTTAAAATGAGGACTATATGGATTTTTCTTTGTACAGTGTTGCCACATTTCTCGGAATGTACAAATTAAAAATATATTCAACTATACAGGGTGTTCCACTTTTCCTGGTCAGACACCAACTTTGGTTTTTAAATGGAAACACACATTTTTTATATTTTTTCGCATTCTATATTAAAAATAAAGAGTACTTTGTATAGAATAGTTCTATTCAAATATTCACAGTTTTTGAGATATCTTGCTTGAAAGGTTTTTCTAGTCGATATTGGCTGCTTACATTTTCTGATACTCACAGGTTATACTAATAGCTACTAAGCCCATTTTTTTATCAGGTGTTTAGTAGGGATGACTCTTCCGAATCATGCTCCAAAAACTGGCCTGTGTTATACAGGGTGACCAAAATATCATGTCAAAATTGCCAATTGAAAAATTGAAAAATCTCGAATTTTTTAAATGCAACATCCTGTATATTTTCATACCATGAGATGCAAAATTAAATTCTTTACAACTTTGCTATACCTGCTCCTATATCAATATTCATTAGTTTTTCATGAAATCTCATTTCTATGAAAAAATGCGAAGTTTACAAATAGCTTATATGTAAAATAACCTAGTAGGCTCCTGTCAAAGGATAATCTGGAAAATTTTCGATTCACATAAGGTTTAATAGAAAAGCGACAGTAATAATTGTGAAATGAATTACTCTAAAGAAAAATTAGAAATAAATAATAGAATAATTAGTAAAACTCATGGTAACTGTATATTGACAAGTATTTACCAAACTAATAATCCAGATTTACAAAGATATCCTCGTGTACAAAGTGTTTTGTAAAACTGAAGGAGAGATTTGAAAGAATAACAAATGCAAATTATGAGAAGACAACAAGAACACACGCATAAACGTAAATTGATTTGTCAATAATTTCTTCACAGTAAACTACGTTTAGGCTGTGATTATGTGCACTTATTATATCAAAGTTTGTATTTGAAGAAGATAAATAAAATTCTTTGGTTTTCGTTCGTAAACTTCTACAATTTTGATTATCAAGACAATGTCTTCCTCTGTATTTTACAAAACCATACACTCTGCTATAGAAGACAATCTTGTTCCAGATTTAACCGGAAGCAGATCTGGCCAGGTGAACACCTTTGCCATGAATATGAATGCCAGCACAGAAGGACAACTCCGCTCCAGAAGGAAGGCAGCGAAAATGCTGGTAGCTGTGGTCGTCATGTTCGCATTCTGCTTCCTCCCAGTTCACTTGCTTTCTGTACTCCGGTAAGCCAGATGTATACAAATTCTATCAGAGGTGTTACTATTTAAAATATTTTTTGCAAAACCAAAGCCAAAGCAAATAGTTTATCTAATTGCTATTAGTTTGTTGCTGCTTAAATATTATCGTCTGTTATATTTGTACCAGACGATACAGATACTTATAGCAATAAAGTCAACTGGAAATTACTGTATGAAAGTAACTTAACTATTTACAAAGAATTGAAAATTTATACGTTCTGAATTCATATTCACTTTTATAAAAAAAAAACGGATATATATCTAATGTTGAGACTGTTGTGACTTTTGTCGAATTAAACATTTTTTTAATGTTTACTAAAGAAGTTAAAAATCCAATAGCAATATATTGCGTTGACATGTCATCTCGTATTTATCGAATCGTTGCAATGGCCATACACATTCGATTGCCCTTTCAATAATAATTTGGATACAGTTACCAAGTTTTATTGTTCGACTAACTGCTACAAAACCAAGCACTGTCAGAAATTATCATACATACTAGATGAATTGAAGCGATTTTATACAAGGTGTCCCAGAATAACGTGTACAACGGAAGATCACAAATTCGTGGACTACAAATAGGCAGATTTAGGTTAATTCACCTATATCCGAAATCGCTTCGTTTAGCCGCTAGTTGGCCTCAATGTTCGTGAAAATTTTTTGAATTTTGTAAATAACTCAAATATGTATTAATAGATTTTGAATATTTTTGGGGTGTAGACTTTTGCTTTCAATCTACTTTTGATGTTATACAGAGTGGTTTTTAAAACTGATAACTCCTACAAAATTGATGTATGGTGATCCGTTCATAACTTTTTACTCTTTCGGGCAATAATGACAACTATTTTTATTGGTGACACCATTTGGAAGTTTTTGGGCCCCCTGTAGAATTTTGATTAAATGAGCGGTTTGGGTACAAATAAATATTTTTTAAATGTATACAGTATCTTGCTACCCATATTACAATACTTAATAAAGTATTAGTAGGCTATGGTATCACCTATCAAATAAAAAATAATTGTCATTATTGCCCGAAAGAAGAAAAAGTTATAAACGGATATTATCAACATATATCAATTTTGTAGGAGTTTTAAGTTTTATAAAACACTCTATGTAACAGCAAAATAATTTATATGTTTATTAAATGGTACTTAAATAAAATATAAGAAAATTACGTAATTAATTAAATCATAGATAAATTACGTCAAGGTATAATGAAATTTTTTTAATTAAAGTTTTTCAAAAAAAAAACAATATATGTCTATTAAATGAGCGTAGTGGTGAAGCAATATGCAGGAATATTGATATAATATCAAAGCTAGAAATTTAAAGTAACACCATTTAAATTACAAACATGTTAGACTTAGGAGTTGTTACTATTTAAATTGCCAAAAAAGCATTTTTTGAAGATTACTTTTAAACCGAATTTTTAAAGTAGATACCTACATATTAAAAATTTATTAGACACATTTAGAACCAAAAAATAAACCTAAACGAAAACGAATACAATCCTTAAGTTTAATCTTCAGCAGGTATATTTGACTGCAATTAAATAAAATGTCCAGTTATTCTAGAGAAGAAAAATTGATTCAAAAATGTTTATATCGGATTGCCATCATACTTTCAGTCGATTTTACATAAGGATTAAACTTCAAACTAGCCAGGTGTGTAACAACAAGTTGTCGTTATTCACTAAGCGTTAAATAGTTCGAGTATTAAATGTTCAAACTATTTTACCTTTTTATAGAACACTTTTAAAACATCGCCGTCGCTAGCTACGACCTTTCTCAGCCATATTTTAGAATTTGTTTGTTATATGTTATAATTTTGAAATTCTCTTACTGAAATTGATGAAAGTGGATAATACTGTAGACCACTCTAGAATGACTTATTTTTTAAATATTCAGACAATTTCCTTTCAATAAATATTTTGAATTGAATTTATACAAAAAAATAATTTATGTACAAATAAATGACTTCTCAATTAATGCAATATTTTGAAAATAAGTGTTCTTTAATATATTACTCAAAAAAAGTATTGTTATTTGTAGTCATTCGAGTGCGCTGTTCAATGTACAGGATACGATTTTTAATATATTCCTTTTCTCACAACTAGGACCTAAAAAATAATTTCAGACTAGTGTTCAGCTAGTAAAAAAAAATTGAATTGTACACCCTTTATATATACCAGCAAGCGATTTACGACATGTGTTCATATAAACTTTTTTGTTCCAAATCAAATTATGTATCAACTATTAAAGTGAATACGTTTAAAAAAGGAATACTCTGTATATGTATATCACAGTTTTCGTGGTTCAGTTTTAATTTTTGAAAATCAAGCCCAAGAGATTATTTTTATCATTTTCAGACATTGCAGAAATTCTCCAAAACCGTCATCCTTCATTTATATGATATGTGTATATGAAAACTATTATTTCTTTACAAAAACCGTAACTAGATTTAATTTTATTTAGGCCCGGTACTTTGACTCTCGATTAACGCTTGATTAACTGATCAGGCGATTAGACTGTACATATACTTATTTTTTTTATAAAGGATAATCACAGTCTAATCGCCTAATTAGTTAATCAAGCCTTAACTGAGTCAAAGTACCGGGCCTTAGACTGTTAAAAACCAGTCTCATCGCGCAAATATAAATTGCAATAACTGAATGTTGATTACTGAAAATGAATATCTAGACTTTAAACTTATTTTTTTACATCGCGAATGAGTGGATAGGATCTGAAACGCAAGACTGATGACAATTCAATTTCGGTCACTTGTTATTTATTTGACTTTAATCTGACACATTTTAAGTATTTGCGTCGGTTTGTCAAAAGAAATTTGAACTGCGTTTAACTAACTTTACTCGTATCTTAGCAATCAAACTCGATTTAGTTAAATGTGGTTAAATTTCGTCTGATAAACTCAAATTATATCTAAAAAAATATATATTTGTCTCACTGTTTATTTTAAGGTACGTAATTATTATTCGAAGACATACCATCCCTGATACAGCTTTTATATGATGTAATGTTTATTTATTTAGAATAATTTAGATGTTTATTTCCTATATTTTTATTTAAGGTATTCCCCTGAAAATTCTATTCTCGTTGAATTTCACGCTCATTGTTATTGGAGTGCCAATTATTTATTTACTAATTCATGTTTACATTACTGAAAAAGAAACATTTTATTTTTGTTTGTTCAATTAGGACATTAATCACTTTTTTCTTTGAAGTATATTTTATTATGCATTGTCACAGCCAAGCTCCATTTTTCCGCAGCTGCTTGTTACTAATTTTAAGAAAAAATATTTTAGAGAGACATCACAGCAATTTTGATAATGGATCTGTCAAAAATATATTCATTTATACAAAAGCCTAGTTAGATTAAACGGAACAATACTACAGCTCAAATGGCGTCGTTATTATGTCACAATAAAAGGAGATAAAAAATGCTTAAATGACTACTTTCAAATTCATGTTAGTCAGTTTATGTATAGATGCCTTAATAAATTTTCGTATTTTTGAGTCAATTTTAAAATGACTTTGTATGCTTTATCTAAAAGATTTCATTTTAGTGTAATTTAACTGTTCAAATTATTTCGAAAAAGAAAAATATAGCAGTTTTTTGTGTTCGTTTTGGCCACAGCTGCTTTATATTTTTAATTAGTAGATAACATTTTACATGATTTTAATGAGTAATATTACTGCCAATCTCCACAAATTATATAAGGCAAAAGTTAACCTGTAAATGTAATAATTCCAACGGTGAATGAAAAATCCTTTGGAACTCTTAGTATCATAAGTAAGATAATCACAACTGTAAATACAAACGACGAAAACATGTAATTCCAAAAATACATGATTTAAGAGTATGTTGACAGAAAGCTAATTAGATACTGCATATTACAATGGTAAAACATGAGGGGAAGGTACTGAGACAAGTTTGCCTAAACAACCTCTGATATTTAGTGCAGCGATTTGAAGAGTCTATTGAGTCGTTTTTTTTTGACGTAGAACCAGGCCAGACATGGTAGATTTTATAAAGCATGTGATTGGGCATATGAAATCGTGTTTTACGACGTTTTTTGTTGGTCGTGATCTTTTTAATTTAGAAAAAATAAAAAAAGCTATTTTTATGAAAATATGTTTTTTAAGGTCTCCACCGTTAATCTCGCACAGTTTCCTTACAAATAATGCACTCCATTGTCTTGAAAACTTAATATATTCTGATGATTATTACACACTGCTTATTAGGCACCAGCGTTGCCAGACGTCCCGATTTTGGCGGGACGTCCCGATTTTTAACCCAAAATTAAATGTCCCGCGCGGGACAGGCTCAGTCCCGCTTTTCCCGCTCTTTTTTTGTTTTTTTATTTAGGCATAAATTATTTTCTCCAGGTTTGTTATTAAGTAGATATTTCCTGATTACTATACGTCTTTTTTTTGACATCGATTTCTTCGAAAACAATTTGTTTCCCAGATATACTGAGAGACCTTTTTTTAGGCATCAATTATACAAACGCGTCATGTCTCCGGGTCTGTCATGAAATAGATCTGGTAACCCTACATATGCACTTAATTTGAAACTAGAATAAAAAGATAAGTAGTTAAAAACTATTGATTATATACGTTTTTTTATCCAAAAGGTTTCAAAATCCCGCTTTGTCCGAAAAAAAATCTGCCAACGCTGTTAGGCACGTAGGTACCTATAGTCCAGGAGAATTACACATTGACATGGCTGTTGCTTGACGTAACTTGGATATTTGTAAAAATCGGTCGAAAAAAATATATACAATGAAAATATAAGGTTGCGTCAAGAAAAAAAGTTGTGCTATTTGCAGAAAAAATTAAAAACTGCAAAAATACTAAAGAATGACGTGTTTTTTCTAACATTTTCCAACATAACTTCTTAAATATGCAATTTACAGAAAAAACTATTACCGGTGAAATTGTTTGTTATGAAATTTGCTATAAGAT